CCTTGACAGCTGGTGTGGACACCACTGTTGGCTGCTTACAGCATTGGACTGCAGAACTGCGACGACACTGAAGTGGCCTCCCTGTGTTTGGAAGGCATCCGCTGTGCAATCCGAATTGCTTGCATCTTCGGAATGCAGGTGGGTCTAGGCCAGCCATGCTCCAGTACTGGCAGGCTGTGCTCTTCTAGATTTGGTAAAACTCAGAAACTTCCATTGGGAACTCAGAAATTTCCATTTCATCAAGTCTTAGCAAACTACATCCTTAAAGCCACTGGGGTTCCATTGCTTTCTCGTTAGGAGAGAAGCTGGAGATTTGAATTAAAACCTTCTTTAAGGATAGCTGGGGTCTGAGCTGCTTGATTGGATTTGACAGAGTCCTCATTATCTGTCTGCCTTACTTGCCTGCATTGGCGTTTAAAAATATTTTTTCCTTCAGTCAGTTTTTGTTACAGTTTCATGTATTTTACTAGTTTCTCTCTGGGGAAGCAAATATTAAGAGTTGAGTACAAAATGAATATATTACTAAATCTTTTGAATCTTGAAAAATTAAAGTGAATAAATGAAATATAATTCTCAAACTATCAGGAGATTGTCAGTACCATGCATCACTTTCTAAGTCACTAAGAATTTTCACCCATTTATTTTGAAAAATTTATTCTTCTGTTCCCATTCATTTTACAGTTACACATTTTCTTTTGTACTAAGAACACAGGCTTTGAAGTCAGAAAAATCTAGGTTTTAAAACCCAGTTCTCTTGCTTTTCTAGCCATGTGACATTGGCCCAGCCAGCTTCTCTCTCAGACACCATTTGTTTTCTCATTTTTAAACTTGAGAAAATATCCCACCTTGCAGTGTTCTTGGCAGATATTAGAATTTATGTGACAATCTTATCATTCAGCAGAGAAAATAGAGTAAGTTTGCTTGAGGTCAGTTGGAAAGAAGAGGGCTAGTTTTCAAACATGTAGTGCTGTGTAGGGAGCCTCAGTGGAATGTTCCAGCAGCAGGAGAGATGACTAGCATGTTAGTGTGCAGAACGCCTGCAGATACGTGCAAAAAAGGTATTGGAGAAGCCCAGTGCAGCAGCCCGCAGGTGTGAAAATGGCCACACTAAGGGAAGAGTCACAGTGTCTTCTCTCGGGCTTCCATTACAGCTGGAACGAGATGCCTATGTTCAGGCTCTCGCTCGCTTCTCTCTACTGACAGCCAGCTCCAGCATCACAGAAATGAAGCAGAAGAACATCGACACCATAAAAACGCTTATTACAGTGGCTCACACTGATGGCAACTACCTTGGGAATTCCTGGCATGAGGTGTGTCTCTCAGTGCTCTTTTCTCTGTTCTGATGACCCCCAGCATTCCTTTTATTCAGTGTTATTCTTTCTTGGTCAGTTCCATTCTTCTTGAAATCAAGCCTAACCCAAGCCTAGCCTTATCTTATGTGTCTGAAAGTCAGCCTCTCTGAGGCCCTTAAAGGTGGGACAAGTTCACAGATGCTCTTACCGCCAGCATGTAGATTTCTGTCAAAGCCAGGAGCCTGCTTTCTCTTATTGTACCTTTAAATAATTGGTTAGCATGTACAGTGAACCATTAGGGAAAGTGCCAGCGAGATCACATTCTGATCTAACTGAACAATAGCCTAGATTCTGACCTAAGGAAATAGCTATATGGGTACAAAGATGTGTCTCAAAGAACATTCCTCACAGTCTCAGTTGTTCTGGGGGAAGACTGGATTAGAAACAACTAGTGGGGACCATCAGGTGGCATAATGATTACATCACTGGACTCCCACATAGTTTACTGCAGTTTGAGTCCTGGACCTGGTGGCTTTGGACTCATGCCAGGTGTGTGTGTGCGTGCCCAGAGTCCCAAGAGGAGAATCTTCACCTTGAAGTCTTGCTTGCTCTCACCTCAAAGGATTTTTAAAAATCTTGTTTGAGATTCCAGTATTCTTTTCCAAGCTGTGATGTGGAAACTCGTTTTTTCACACCTCCTTCCCATAGATCTTGAAGTGTATCAGCCAGCTGGAGCTCGCGCAGCTGATAGGAACTGGTGTGAAAACCCGCTACCTGTCGGGGGCTGGCCGTGAAAGAGAAGGCAGCCTGAAGGGCCACACACTGGCAGGGGACGAGTTCATGGGCCTTGGCCTCGGTAAGACACCAGACTCCACAGCTGGCCGCCATGGAATTGTAAGTTAACTGGGATGAAACCTTCCTTGTCTCATCAGAGCTGTTATGACAGCTGTCTCTTCCTTACGTGCCAGTGGCCAGTATGTTTATGAATGCAAGTGGACATGCTGCTTCAACTCTCTTGTGATTAAACTCTTGAGTAAAATGTCTATTTTACCAAAATCAACAGGGTACAGCCCTTTTTTTTTTTTTTTTTTTGTACCTATAACTATTTGGGAGACAAAACCATGTGCTTTAAAAAGGTTTCAGCTCTGGGGCCAGCAGGTGGCATGGTGGTTGGGGTGCTGGACTCCCATGTGGTTGACTGTGGTTTAAATCCCAGAGCTGGTGACTTTCTCTCTCTCTCTGTCTTTGGTCAAATTGAAGAATAATAATAAATGAATACAATTAACTAGATCATTCTTTTTTAAAAAAAGAAAAAGGTTATAGCTCTAATGCCTGACATTAGATGGGCATATCTGTTTGTCTCTAGAGTTTAAAGAATAGATTTTAACATCTCCTTCATGTTCATTTGGGGACTTTCATTAAATAGTATTCTGCTAGTGGAATAACTTCTGGGTATGCAGTGTATTGAAAGACTCTTCTGTCACTAATGTCACATAATAATGGTAAACAAGTCAGGTAAATGTGCCAGGCCACATACCAAGCACCCAGTTTATATCATTTTAATTCATTTAATCCTTGCAACAATCCTATGAAATAAGGACTGTAACCTTGCTCATTTTGTAATTAAGAAAACGAAAGCACAGAGGTGAAGTGACTTGAGTAATATTGGACTGCAAAGAGGTGACAGGTGGCATTCAAGCCCAGGCCACAGACTTACAGAGAACAGGCCCCTGGGTCCCACATCCAGAGGCTGGGGTGGCACAGTATAAGCTGTTCAAAGCATGGACTCTGGGGAACTTCGGGGCTGTCGTAGCACTTAGTTCTTAGGGTGTTGTGAGGATGCATGGAGTAAAGTCCTGTAAAGTACACAGACACAGCAGGTGTGAGCCATTACCTGTTCTGAAAGCTCTGGATTTGGGGACATTGACTCAAGAGCAAGTTAGTTTTCCTAAATATAGGCCTTTAATGTCATAAAAATGTAAAAGACTGTGCAGCAAGGGAGGTGGTCGATACAAACAAGAGAGCTTATATAAGGCTACATTTTAAATGCCAAAACATAAGTTTAATTTTTTTCTGTTGTCTGTGGGTTTGAGGTTTTTGTTTCTGTTTTATTTTTGTTTTTTGAAGGTTTTTGGCCTGTAGAACCGTTTTCATTTATATCTCTTGTCTCTATATATTGATGTAACAAGATACTTTGTTTTAAATACTTTTTTTTTTTTTTTTTTGGAGAGGTTTTTGCTATAGGGCGCATGTGCTCACCAGAAAGAGAGAGACAGAGAGACAGAAAATGAGAAATCACCCCCCGGGGGAAGGCCACGCCGCAATCCCTTCTCCTCCATTCTCCTTTTGGGACATATGCACACACGCCCGGTGTAAGTTTAAGCCACCGGGTCTGGGACTTGAACCATGGTCAACTGCATGGGATTCCAGTAACATAGCCATTACACCAACTGCTGGTCCCAAATACTTTACTTTTTTTGTAACCGCTACTGATAATATGCATTGTGTTTCAGGTAACTTGGTCAGCGGTGGTGTGGATAAAAGACAGATGGCCAGCTTCCAGGAATCCGTTGGTGAGACCAGCTCACAGAGTGTGGTTGTAGCTGTGGACAGGTAAGGTTTTTACTCCCTGTGAGGCTGGAGTACCCAGGGGTTTGGCATCTTCTGTGTAGTTACTGAGCATCGATGATTCCTCATTTATTTGACAGTTGTGTTGTCAGCTCCCAATTACTCAAGCCAAAAAAGTTCGAAAGTGGCAGACGTGATCCACAGCTCTTAAGTTTATATTCATTTGAACTTTGACCTTGAGTTGCATTAGGACCTTTTAAAAAAAGTGTAACTTTAGCTAGTGACAAATTATGACAAAAACAAGAGTATTTGCTTTTGCCTGTGTTCTAAAGTACCTTATTTCCCCAATAGAAATTACTTTCAAAGAAATCTCAAGTGTTGGGAACCAGCAGTTGGCGTAATGGCTATGTCGCTGGACTCCCACGTAGTCAACCGCGGTTCGCATCCCGGACCCGGTGGCTTAAAACTCACGCCGGGCGCGTGTGCCTGCGTGCCCAAGATCCCGAGAGGAGAATGGAGGAGAAGGGATTGCGGCGTGACCATCCCCTCTTGGGGGGTGATTTCTCGCTTTCTGTCTCTGTGTCTCTGTCTGTCTGGCGAGCG